TTTGGAAAATAGTTTAATTGTATAAGTTAAATAGTTTAATAGTATAAGTTAGCTTAATAGTATATCCAGAGTAATTAAATTGATCAAAATAAAAACTGATCAAAAAAATAGACATAAAAAGGCCATTTTTTCTTAAAAAAAAAATTCTCCCTTTTTCTCGTTTGTTAATTTTTGATACAATAATAATTCTTTTACAATAATCTTTTATTATGGAACAAAGTCATAAAAGTGATAGGTCAGGTAGAAGCCATACCAGATCACATACTAAAAGTCGTCGAACCAGCAGAAGCTGAACAAAATCACATCATCGAACTGGCAGAAGCCGTACCAGATCACATACTAAAAGTCGTCAAACCAGCAGAAGCCGAACCAGATCACATCATCGAACTGGCAGAAGTCGTACCAGATCAAATACCAAAAGTCGCATCCAAAGTCATACCAATGAAAGGGAGAATGGTCCATTCCATTTGGTTTTGCCCCCTGAATTGGAGCATGCCTACGAAATTGGTAAGCTTCATTCCAATCAGTTACATTCTGTACTGTGTAACATATTTATGTATAATGACGAAACCTCAACAATTATATCATCTATTTGTTAACGATATGAAACTATTTAACGCTTTTTCGTCTGTTTGTTAACGATTATCTGAGTATTTAACGAAACCTCAACAATTTTATCATCTATTTGTTAACGATATGAAACTATTTAACGCTTTTTCGTCTGTTTGTTAACGATTATCTGAGTATTTAACGAAACCTCAACAATTTTATCGTCTATTCGTTAACGATATAAAACTATTTAATGAACTAACTATTTACCAATTTTTCATTTAAGAAAAAAATTCAAAAATTTCTACTAGTGAAAGCAATCGGTTGACATATTTGCTAGAATGTTTGAGGAAATATGATGAAGATAATCAAACTAAGATATCAGAATCGAGCGCCACACTCCAGGATACATCGTCATCATCCATTAAAGCTTCCAACATACCTACCGAAATTGTTTTTTCTGATAGTAATGAGAGCGGTAAAGAGCAAACATCAAAGATATCAGAATCAAGCGCCAAACTCCAGGATACATCATTATCATCCATTATAGCTTCAAACAAACCCACTGAAATTGTTTCTTCTGATAGTAATGAGAGTGGTAAAAAATAGCAAACATCAAAGATATCAGAATTAAATACTAAACTCCAGGATACATCATCATTATTTGTTAAAGCTTCCAACAAACCCACCGGATTTGTTTCTTCTGATGATGAGAGCGGTAAAGAGCAAACATCAAAGGTACCAGAATCGAGTGCTAAACTCCAGGATACATCATCATTATTATTTATTAAAGATTTTAGGAAAAAACCCACCGGATTTGTTTCTTCTGATGATGAGAGCGGTAAAGAGAAAACATCAAAGGTACCAGAATCGAGTGCTAAACTCCAGGATACATCATCATCATTATTTATTAAAGATTTTAGGAAAAACCCCACCGGATTTGTTTCTTCTGATGATGAGAGCGGTAAAGAGCAAACATCAAAGGTACCAGAATTGAGCGCCAAACTCCAGGATACATCATCATCATTATTTATTAAAGATTTTAGGAAAAAACCCACTGGATTTGTTTCTTCTGATGATGAAAGCGGTAAAAAAGATCATCAACCAAGTAAAAAGAAATCCAAGATGCCCGAGAAGTCTAAGAAATCATCTTCCATTAAAGCTTCTAACAAATCTACTGAGATCGTTTCTTCCGATGATGAAAGCCACCAACCAAAAAAAATAGCAAGAATAGCAAAAAGAAATCCAAATCTAAGAAGTCCAAGAAGCAAAGAAAACGAAAACAATCAACTTCTCGATCAGATTCTCGGTCAAATTCAAGTTCAGAGAGAACTAGCGGATTGGAAACTGATTCTAGTCCAGCTGCTTCCAGGAAAGTAACTTATTACAGTTTAACAGAATTACCAAAAGATACGAAAGATAACTTGCGTGTAAGTAATTATTTAATTTCGAATTTATTTAAATGCATGAAACTAACACAAATAAATATTTAGCGAGAAGTAAAATGGAATATCAAACGAATGCCTACAGGCAGTCAACTCGAAATCAATAAAACTTTCGAGTCGCAGAAGGATCTGGTAACGAAAATAATCATTCCCGCTCTATTCAAAGTGTTAGATACCAACGCGTATCCGGTTAGCGAAGGTGTGCTATACGAAATGATTCATCAGTGCCACCGCCATCAGAGAGAAGATTTATTAAAAAAAGAGAAATCCGAATCTGAGCGAACTGAAGAAACCAAAAGAAAACATGGCAATTCACGCTGAAGCGAGGTAATATTATATTAATTGAGTTTATTTATGAAACATTAGCTAATTAGCCATTAAAATTGAGAGAATAGAAACGAATAAGATGAACGAACATGGTCAGACATTTACAACTATTAGACGATCCAATTGTCTCAAAGTTAAAGAAATCGGAACTCAATCCAATCATGTTAGAAAATGCGTATCATAGTCCGGAGGAGTCCGAAGTTGATTCGGACAATGATTCAAATGAAAATCGTATTGTAATACGAGATATCAAGTGGAGAAGCGATTGCGTAAGTAAATAATTTTCGCAAATTGTACATTATATTAGCTACTTTGGTAATCTGATTGTATTTTTTAGTTGCGAATGTTTTTAAAAGACTATTTGGACGTATTATTTTATTAGCAAACAGTTGATAAAAGAAGACGAAAATAAGTTTTCAATAATTCTCAGTATGCTCTGGGGGAGGAAACTGCTCCATTAAACGCACCTCGATGGACGAGATCTGGATACAAAGGATCGATGTTATCGATTATAACCGGGGAGTTAAAGAAATATAGAGAAAATGATGATGATGATGATATTGGACACCATTCAAGAAAGAAACTATAATCGGTTGAAGGGATCCATAATGTCAAATAAAATTCTTATTAAAATTCTTATATAAAATTTAATTAACTATCATAATATATTAGTCATATAGAATATTTTAGACTAGTAGTATTAATATTACATTCTGCTAATTTTACATCTAAATATATAATAAATTGAAATTAATTAATTGCGTGTAATATAAATCTGATATAATAAATTGATAAATTAAGTAGCAATTTGGAATCAATCGAAAGCATGTATTGATTCTATATTTTGATTTTTTTTACAATCAGACATAGCCTATTGATTACTTTTTAATAAATTATGTGTATATATTGATACAATTAACCAAAATGACATCAATCAGTAAGCTTCTAAATAAGAAAAATGGATAACAATAGGTTAATCTAACAAGTAAATAAAAAAAACTGGATAACAATAAGGTCAATCCTATTGATATCCAGTTGCGAACGAATAGGTACCCTATTGATAACCTTACCCTGCATGATTGGGGCCATTTTATAGTTACCAATCGGGTACCCTGCAAAAATAAATAAAAAAAATCGGGGACCATCTAGGTCCTTTTAGGATAGCCTAGATGGTCCCCGATTTGGCAGCTTTCAACCTGTGTTAACGCTTGGAGTAGTTGAAGAAGCTTCTCTATCTTTTGAAGTTAGGGAAACTTTGGTAGATTCAACACCCTCCATAGAAACTGATTTGTCATTAAGAGATGATGCTATTTTTTTGGACTTTCCTTTATTTTTTGAAGAAGTACTAACATTGTTAATTTGAACATCATCTTTCAAAGATGGAGCAACTTCGGTAGGTTCAACATCCCCCATAGAAACTATTTTGTCGATAACATGAGTTGCTTCTTCACAAAATAATACTCGTAATATACAAGCTTTACTGTAGATAATTCTCTACTTTTTAAAGAAATACCAACATTAATAGTTTGAAAGTCCTCTTCTGAAAATGGACCAACATTGCTAATTTGAACGTCTTCTTTCGAAGATGGAACAATGTCAGTAAGTTCAACATCCTCCATAGAAACTATTTTGTTAATAACATGAGTTGCTTCTTTACAAAACAATACTCGTAATATATATGTTTTTCCTGTGAACGGGAGGAACGATGTTTCTATACTTTTTGAAGAAATACCAACATTGATAGCTTGAACGTCCTTGGGAACTGTGTTTTTCTTTTTTTTCTGTTTTTTCGATTTTTTTTTGTCTGATGACATCGTTTGGAAAAAGTATTATGGGCACAGCATCATTGATTGACGCTTTAAGTGGTTTTGATAAAGTAGAATTTATCAGCCGATAATGATCAATATGATGAGAATTAATCACTAAAGGAGTATTTATTAAAAAAATGAATTAACTATTACGCAATTTTTCAATCGTACATTTAACCGTATTTGACTAAGTGTGGGGAAATGTTATGATTTACGTATTAGGCTACTTGCCTATTTCATACCAGAATTTTTTTTTTATGGAAATGACAATGTAATCAATACAAGTTAATTTACTAATTGTGAGTATTGCACTACCAACTTAATGTTCTCATTTGTACGACCTAAAAATTACGTAACATTTTTTAATGAGAATTCGTTGGAGAATCAATATCTAATCATTTTTTTTCATGTACTGATAATTTACTATGCTTATGCTTATGAATTTTTGTCAAATTTCTGTATTAGAGTCTATCTCTATCAGTCACTCAAAGTTTTTTTTTCTTTTTGGCATGTATCAATTTCATTATTACAAACTTTATAAAAATAATAGTCTTCTTAAATTTTTCTAATAATTATGGAAGTTGCTAATGCTTATGTGCAAGTTGGATCTGATAAGGTGGTTGGAAATGCATGTATATGAGATGATAAGAAGTACAAAGACCAAGAAAATCTCTTAAAAGGTAGGTAAAATTTTCAACTTTACTTATTTACCAAAATCATAGGCTTTTCATTATTTATTATTTAATTTTGTAGCAATAAAAACTTTGAATAGGTCGATTCAACAAGACTCTAACATCACTAAATACTTTAAAGAAAGATGTGATAAGAATAAAGTACTTTTTAAAGACCTCAAGTAAAACATTCTTAATGAAAACTTTAATGAATATATGGGATCCTTGAAAAATCTAAAAGGCAACATCAATTTTTTGAAACAACAAAGAACCATTAGCAAAAATCTCATTGTTCTCACAAAAAGTTTACTAAACAACCTAAAAACAAAAAATATCCTGATTTTATATAGGGGTTATATAAGCTATTTTAATAGACATTTAAGAGGTCAGTTGGATGCTAATTTGTGAAATAGAGCATATTCAGCTGTCAATAAAAAGTAGAAACTGAAATGGCTAATTATTCTAATTCAGAGAAAGATGATGTTTCAAATTTAGAAATTGCATTAGATAATGTTCATTTGATACTTAAAGAATATGAACTATTGATATTAATAAAATATAGAAGTAATTGTAAATTTCATGAAAATAGATATCAAATATGAATAGAGGCATGAAAAAAGTTAGAAAATAGTTCATTTTTTAAAGATATGCCCTATAAAAAGTATTATACCACTGGTCGAAATAGGACAATTCGACCTAAATTTGACCAGGTCGAATATAAGTCGAATGACGATCTAACCTGTGTCAAATTAAGGTCGAATTTTCAGGCGCATTTAGGGTGCCAATCATCTCAAATTCGAAAAGGATATTTGGCTAAAATTAGACTCAAATTCAGAAAGGATATTTGGCTAAAATTAGACCTATATTAGGACGTTATTACATATTTGTTCGACCCTAAAAAAAAAAACCATATTCGACTACTATATGTAAACCGAATATTATTGATAAATAGAGTTTTCAAGGACGAATAATAAAGCATAGTATAAGCAAATAAAACCAGTTTATTTTATATTTTATATATATTGACGTATAGTAATATAATTATATAAATCAACCCATGTACATAATAATATATAAACCCCAATAAACCAACCATATTAAGCCAAAAAAAGAAATATAAAATATACTAATAATACCATATAATAAAAAATAAACCCAATAAACCAACCAAAAAAAAGAAATATAAAATATACTAATAATATTCGTCGGTTTCAAAGATTTCATAAATTTCCTTGTCTTCTTTTGCTTCTTTTGTGGCTTTTTCTTTGCCTTTTCGACTCCTTTCGGCTCTTTGTTGCTAATATGATATAAACAAAATTAATTAGCGATATTTGCGATGTAAAAATATTAAAAACAATTCAACTTACTGTCGTCGAACTTTCACCAATCTCATCCAAATCTTAGGGTCTAATCGAATTCATTTCCGCTGAATTTAACAAGAAATCCGAATATGGCTCCGTTAAATTCAACTCCATTGGCTCACAATCTTCGTAAGATTGAATCAAATCATCAATCAAATCATCAGACACGTCATATTAGCTAACGTCGTTTGTTTAGTTAGTTTCATCAGTTTCGTACATTTTCGCTTTATCGAGCGCCCATTCGGGCGCATTATTGAGAGGTTCACTAGACGTAAAATACATGTCATCATCATAAATTCTCTCTCTTTGCTTTTTTGAGTGTTGAATATATTCTGCTTCAGGGTCCAATACGTTTCGTAATAGGTATTTTAACTATTTAAAACAAAGATAAACTTTATATATCGAATAAATATTAAAATAGGTTAATAGCAATAATCACTTTAATACCTTGTTCGAACGCCATTTCTGATCGTATACATGCAGGAACCACTTGTTATTAGGCAATTTCTGTCTTGATTCGTCTTCGGAATTCAATTGCTCAATCGAATGACAATCATTCTGTAGGAGCATTGGTAATAATTCATCTTTATCGAATTCCTGTATGTTGGCATCATTTCTTTCGTATAATTTTATTGAGGCCTTTACTCGTCTATTTTTTTTCTGTCGAATATATAAAGATTAATTTCAAATGACTAAAAAAAAAGAAGTGTATTAAAATAAAATACTCCTCACTTCGGACAATCGCGCATTTACGTGCATTTTTCGATCTACTTTGTCTAATTGGCCTGATTGTCATTTCTGTTGTCTATCTCTTTTATGCTTGTGCATCGATCGTAACCAGTCTGACAATTGGGTTACCGACGGATTATAATGTCCACTCATCAACTTCTTTAATTCAGGTATCAATTTTTCGTATATCTTTACTGTCTGTTCACTGAAAGTCTTACCATAATCCAACCGATATTCTTCGGGTATTTGACCTTTCAAGAGGTTCTTCATTTCAGCCTAAACAATAAGAGGAAATAATAAAATAATAAAAGCTGTATATATACATTAACACAATTCGGCTGCAAATAGTCTTGTAAAATTCTTACTCTTGCATCTGTAGCGGTAACTTCATCAGGAGATTCCTCTCTCGATTTTAATCTTTTATTGGAACGTTTTGGTGAATATTGCTGCGGAGGATTAATAATCTTTTGAGGTATGTGAAGTTGTTTGGATTGTTGAAGTTCTTCTCAGAGAGCTTTATTTTCTTCACATAATTCATTCGATTCGTTACTAAAAATTTCATTAAAATCCCGTAACATGGAGTTCTCCTCCTCGATACTACGAACATGGTCTTCTAAATTATCTATTTTTCGTTTCATTCCGGCTACTTTGGACTTTTCTTGTTTTAATTCGTTCTGTAGTCGAAGAGTTTCTTTTTTTAAATTTCCTAACTCAAAATTACCTATTTTAAATTATAAGGACATCATGATGTTGGTTAAAGTAATTTATTAATATTTATTATTAGCACTTATAAAATATAAGGTATATTGGTAAAATGCATTTGAGTATTTACTTAAAATACTAATAAAATGTTTAATAAATTAAATGGTTAATAAATATTAAAATTTAGTACTTATTTAATATATTAAGCATTTATTGCTTAATAAATATAAAATTTTAATGCTTATTAAATATTGCTATTCAGTAAACATAAGGTTTCAGTTGGTCTAATATCATGATGGATATGTAACAAACAGATGTAATATAATAAATATCAAAATATAAAAATAACAAATTCGATTTACCCGCTTCTTCATTACTTGGTCGATCACTTCTTGGTGCTCCTTCTTCATGATGTGAACGATAACTTTTTGGTACATTAATATTAGGATATTTTTTAATAATATCTGAAGCCGTTAAATTTCGTTGAGATTTAGATTGAGTTCGACCTATTGAGGCTGAAATATCTGGCGGAATAACGAGTTTAAAGGGAGATGAAGAAACTGTAGTATTAGTATTTTGTGGTGTTAGTGTTGACGAAGTAGTAATATTACGTGTCGATAGTGTTGACGAAGTGGTAATATTACGTGTTGAAGAAGTAATATTTCGTGATGCTGATGCTGACGATCGTGATGCCGGTGTTGAAGTGGCAATATTTGGAGGTGTTGGTG